ATCTTTTATGAACAAGTTCAAGCAATATGTTTCCATTTAATCCTTGTGTTATTTGTTCTTCTTCAAGAAAAGACTCATGCACGCTGATATTTCCAACAGGAATATTTCTATGGCCTTGCAAATGATCTGAGCCCACATTCTAACATCGCAAACTTTAGTGACTTTTCTGTCTTTCGAATTGGTGGCGGGCCACAGGCCCCACGTTCAGCTTTGCCAATTGGTGCAGAGCCTGCTGCAGACCCTCTAAGATTGGCGCCTGTGAATATTAACCGGGATTTGCTGCATACCATTCTCGCTGTTTCATTTGCCAAGGAGCCTGATCAAATTATTTCTAGGTAACTTGTAAAGATTTATCTGATAGAGAAATAGATAATGATTCAGTAAAGTATGACATGGATCAGTTTTGTTCACTTTCATTTGAACTCCACATACAAAAGTGGATTCATAGTCTGTAGTCTTTAAGTTTTTACTTTTTCGTTTTGTTTTGCAGTAATGTTGCTGGGTTTGTCTTTGTCACAGACGTCGACATTCAGAGGTTTGAATTCTGAGCTACAGTAAACAACTTGGTAGAAGCACTTTTTGCTTCTGGTTTTGGTTGATCTAACCCAGTACGTGACATTTTACAGGAAGACAATTACATACCTTGCACCGTCGGCGGGTGAGCTTCCAAGCAAGTATTTGATCGCGGGAACCGTGACTTGGCTCGAAACGTGAAGGGGATGACCCAAAATCCAAATTGTTCAGGTTGACAATGGCTTACTGGTGAATGCACATTGCTGGTTTGTGCAAGGAGTGTAAGGTGTGAGCTACCTAAGCCTCGAAAGTTTGGTTGCAACTCTGTATAGCTTCTCTTGTACCCAATATAAATCAGAATATTATTGTTGTCTTTTATTTTGCATCCTTTTTGGTATGCCGAGTTTGTTTCCTTTTTACGTGGTTTAGATTAGATTAGAATATCGATTGAATAAAAAAAACTCTTCGTACATTTCTAGCATTTAAGTGGCCTACAAAATATGCTTATGATATGAGTAATAATTGACCACTCAAAATATGAGTATGTGTTTATTCTCAAAATTATTAGTCGTCGATTTATAGTAGTTCGTGTTTATAATCAGAACCGTTTATAAATCACTTTAAAAGGTTGTCACTGTAAAAAGTAAATTAAAAATATGGTCGTTTAGTTAATTAAAATTAAAGTTGTTTAATCATGAGACAGTTATCTACGATTATCGAATTTAACAGGTTATGTAAATCATATCATATAATAACAATATATATTGCACATTTTCTTGTGTAGACTACACTTCCCCAATATTAAAATTAAACAAAGAATTGAAAATTCTAAAAATCGTAAGACTCTATCTTGTAGCATTATTGGATAAATCTGCAGTCCGATTTTCCCAGATGTCCAAAAAAATGTTCATGATTCCAAAAAATAAAAAATAAAAAATAAAAAGCAGAAATAATTAGGCAAAAAAATAAAATAAAAATTCATGTAGCATGACAAGCTTTTGATTTGACGTTGGGAATATGCCAAAGCCAGTGTCGTGGAGCAGTGTGAAAGCTTTCTCCTTTCTCTTCCTTTCTCTCTCATGCCCGACCTGCCCATCTCCTCTGTTTCAAACCTCGCCCGACCTGCCCATCTCCTCTGTTTCAAACCTCGCCCGACCTGCCCCACCATTTTTGGAAAACTTTCCCTCTTTCTTAAGCAGCAGAGCCTCTCTTTTCACGCCCTCTGTTCCCCTCTCTCCCTTTCTCTCTCTCATCACTCTCTTTGTCTATCCTTTTTGACCAACTGGGTCGGATTCAATTTTTCGAGCATGCGGCTGCTCAATCTTTGCTTCAAGTCGCATTCTTTGTGAAAATTTCAGAGATTTTGTAGCGTTTTGGGGTTGCAGATTGGTGGGTTCTCTGTGTTTTTGAACCACTGTTCGATCCTCCTGCTTCACGTCACATTTTTTTGTGAAATTTCAGAGATTTTTGTAGCTCTTCTGGTCGCTTTTGGTTTGCTGGTTGGTGGGTTGCAATGGACTTTCTGTGAGTTTTGAAATTTCTGGGTGTCTGAGACATGAGAATCTGAATCTAGAGAGAGTTTGAGGAGATGGGTTTGGTGGTTAATCCTAGCAAGGTGGAGAGTTGGGATAAAAGTAGCAAATCGAAGGGGAGGAAGAAGAAGGATGATGCGGTGGAGGAGACTGGGTGTTGGGTTAAGCTCAGGTTTGGGACCTGCATGCCTTCAAGATCCAAAGTTGATAGCTCCATCACTGGAACTAGTGTTTCTTATGGTAAATTCTTCACTGCCCTTTTCCTTTTTAGGCAATTTCTTGCTGAGAAACATTAATTTCTGAGGTGGGGATTGTGTTTTTTGGTTGCCATTTTTCCTTTTCGGATGATTATTTTGTTGGGTCTGCTAAATTAATTAAAGAGGGCATGTAACATCATAGGTTTTAGGGAAGTGTCTAACTTTGTTTAGGTGATGAATGTTCAGAAGATGAATGGTTTGAAGGCGATATTGTAAACTACTCTAATTTACAGAGAGGGGAATGGATTTACGGTTTATATATGGTTGAGTCTAATAGTTTGAAATCGATTTACGGTTTATTTTTTGTGTCTGGCATTTTTATGAAATTCCAAACAATACCAACATCTTATTTGATTCAAGTGCATACTACGATCAGGATCCTCTCCTAATCTAAGGATGAGGATCCTCATGACCAAGGATGTGGGCTGTTGGATGAAAATCCAACGGTTATAATTATTATAACTTTAAAGGGATCCCCCTGTTTATAGCCGTTGGATTTTCATCTAATGGCATCCCTTGGTCATGAGGATCCTCATCCTTAGATTAGGAGAGGATCCTGGTCCCTATATATGTATCATACACTTAAGTGTGTTGGACCTTGTGTAACCAGCGGAAACTAAATCGTCAAATGAGAAAAGTAGAGATCGAGAACTTACTCGTGGAGGGTCATCTACAACTACTAGTAATGCCGGAAGTACTACATCCACGCCCTATTTTAGTGAGGAACTGAAGGTTGCTTCTCAGCTCCGAAAATTCACATTTAATGAACTTAAGTTGGCGACTAGAAACTTCAGACCGGAGAGTCTTCTTGGTGAGGGTGGATTTGGTTGTGTATTTAAAGGTTGGGTTGAGGAGAATGGAACTGCTCCTGTGAAACCTGGTACCGGGCTGACGGTTGCAGTTAAGACCCTCAACCATGATGGACTTCAGGGTCACAAAGAATGGCTTGTATGGCTTCACTATCCCTCAACTTTACGATTATAACTGCTTTTTAACTTACCTCTTAGACTACAGGCAACTCTCCTTTTCGGTTTAAATTGTATCTAAATCCTTTTTTTTCATTATATTTCAGGCTGAAATTTATTTTCTTGGTGATCTCATCCATCCTAATTTGGTAAAATTGATTGGCTACTCGATTGAAGATGATCAGAGGTTGTTGGTCTATGAGTTTTTGCCTAGGGGAAGTTTGGAAAACCACCTCTTCAGAAGTAAGCAACCGGTCCCTTCACATTCTTTGATAATTGCATGTATATTGAAACTAGCTGTTGAATTTGTGTTGTTCTGTGTTGTTAATGGTTGCCTATTGATCTTTGGTAACAAGCAGGGTCCCTGCCTCTTCCGTGGTCTATTAGAATGAGAATTGCACTCGGTGCTGCAAAGGGTCTTGCCTTTCTTCATGAAGAAGTTCAAAAACCGGTCATATACCGTGACTTCAAAACATCTAATATCCTATTAGATGCAGTGAGTGACAATAACTGAGCATCAACTACATTTCTTTCCCTAATCCTATTCTCTTCTGAAAATGGAATGTGTTATTTTAGGATTACAATGCCAAGCTTTCGGATTTTGGACTTGCGAAAGATGGTCCTGAGGGTGATAAAACTCATGTTTCGACGCGAGTCATGGGAACCTATGGTTATGCAGCCCCAGAGTATGTGATGACTGGTGAGTCTGATAACAATCATCTTCAGCATTTAATAGTTTTGCAAGTTCTATAAAGTCAACTCCATCGAATATGCAAAGAGATAGGATAAAACATAAGTACTTAGCATTTTATCGGGTTTTGGCTTCTGATAAGTAATTGCATACTTAGGCCATCTACTTTTGTAATCTTTTTAGTTATTTATATTTTTTATTATGTAGTATGCTTAATCGTGTGCTAGAATTACTAAGTTCTAACATGGCTTTTTGCTTTAGGACATTTGACATCAAAGAGCGATGTCTATAGTTTTGGAGTAGTCCTGCTCGAAATGTTAAACGGCAGAAGATCCATGGACAAAAATAGACCAAATGGGGAGCACAATCTTGTGCAGTGGGCGAGACAACTCTTTGGCGACAAGAGGAGGTTATTCCAGTTAATTGACCCCCGTCTTGAAGGTCATTTTTCGATTAAAGGTGCACAAAAAGCAGTCCAGCTTGCCGCCCACTGCCTCAGTCGTGACCCGAAAGCTAGACCAATGATGAGTGAAGTTGTGGAAGCCCTAAAGCCTCTACCAAACCTCAAGGATATGGCCAGTTCTTCCTACCACTTCCAAACCATACAAGCAGCTCGTTCAAGGTCCCACTCGAGTTATAAGAACGGCATCAGAACGCAGGCAGTATTCATGCCGAGAAACGGACAGCCCGTAAGGAGCTTGTCAAGCCCAAATGGTCCTCCGGCGTCTCCATATTATCCTCGAAAATCGCCTAAACCTAACTCAAAGGAATGATGCCAGTAGTTTTTGTGTATGATTATCGTAGACTTGACTCTCATTTGTACCAGCTTCGGATTGTTCTGTCAATTATAGTACAAATTAAAGAATCGCTTTACTCTCTTCCTGATGCTTACTGCAATTAGATACTTAGTTCGTGTGACAAAATCCTGTTTAATATATATATATATATATGTATGTAAGTATGTATGTATATGTATGTATGTATGTATGTATGTATGTATATGTATATGTATTCTTAAACTATAACTAAGGTTTTGGTCAAAGATTATCTACCAAAAATTACTTTAAAATTGAGATTATATGACCATTGGCTTAAATGGTAGTTATTTTAGGTTTTTTTTTTAAAATGCCATATTCATTTGATTTTGTCACTACAATTGAATGTCTTAATGTTTTGGATTTATGTAGTTTTTTTTTTTTTTTTGCATGGATCGTATATGAATGAAGTGTTAAAATATAAAAGATTTGGATCGTTAAAAAAATTACGGAAAAGAATATGAAATTAAACAAAAAAAAAAGAACTCATACAGAAGAAATTAACCAACAAAAGTTGATCTACTGTGAATCCACCATAAGAGATTGCTGCGGGAGTTTCCATCGTCGAATTCTTCCAAGCTTCTAATCTTCTCCAAAGCGCCTTCTTTGTCGTACATCCCTTGTAATGCGTACACAAATCCTTTCCATGCTTCCGTGACTCCCGTCCTGCCGAGCGCCGGCGATGCCCAGTTCACTAGCTCACTAGCAAACCGGACATCAGAGAACAATACCTCAGTAACTGGCAAAACAGGCACCGTTTGGATTCCAAGTCTGATTTCTTTTGCCTCCGCAGTCGCAAACCAAAGCCCGCTGTCTCTCCTGGTCGACCATAAAACTCCCACAACCCGATTCTCCTTCGCGAAATCTTGCTCGTAAATTTGATTCTCTCCTCCCTCTCTCACATGCCACCACATTTGAGCTGCCTGAATTTCCAATGTAGTAAGCAGCGAACCGGTGGCCTCAAGTTGCGCATCTTTATACGCTTTCCCCATTAGAGCAGCTGCATAGTACGCATTAACTGCCTCACTCGTACTCTCTTGATTCCTCCCGTCTGCGAATTCTGTCAACCCTGCCGCCCATGAGTGCAACTTATAAAGATCAAAGCATCTCAGACGCGTGTAATTTGGATTCGATTGCTTGTCCTTGTTGAGAAAATCCTCCACGAGCGAGTATGCTTGAGGCCTGTACTTCTCTCCCCATGCAGGATCAATCTTTGCTAACACGGAAATTCCGTATATAAAGTACCCCAGATGAAAATGGTGATCGGAGTAAAGACCAAACCCGAAATCTGCAGCTGGATCAGTTGTGGAGGATTTGGTAACAAGTCCACCCCATGTTTTATCATGCAAGAATCCGTTGCCGCTAAAAGTACTATCCAACCACGGCTCGATTTTATTGCTCAAGAATGTCCTAATCGCAGGGATTACATCAGGACAGGCTACCTCCTCGGCGATCAGAGCCAGCCTCGCAGCTCTAGCAACTAGTTTCCCGTAAAAGTATGAAGACGTGGTAGTTGATTCTGTTGAACTAAGAGCGTCAACATCTCGACGAAGCGCAGATATGATCTCTGAAAACGAATCCTTTTTTACACCTCCAACGGAATTCCATGTGACTGGAATAGGCTTCGGTGCTAACACCCACGAATCACCCACAACGCCAATCAAATCCCCGTCGATGCTTTTGTACTTAAAATCTTGCAAAATTGTGGCGTTGGACAGAAGCTTGAGATGTAGAGGATGAGCTAGCATGAGCAAGTCTCCACCTATCTTTTCGAACTTATACGACAAAGTATTTGAGTTTTCGAGCACAGCTGCACCAGAAATCGGGTAACAAGAACTGAAGTGGTCGAGAACTTGCTCAGATTTAGGATCAGGATCCGGCAGTACAGCAACACGAAAAATCCCAGAAAATTCTTTAAGAGTTAACGTGGATGAGTCGCTGTCAGTAAATTCAGTTGGTGAGGATGTATATATTAGCCATGTGTGATCATTGTCGAGCTTGACGATGAACTTGGTGTTCGAGCCACTCGCTGAGGATGCCGAGACAGTCGTATGATCGGTCGATATAGAAACCGACGTGGGACGATAAACAAAGCAGGTGAGAAAGGGGCTTCCCCGAACCAGGTAGAAGCGGAGGTTGGAGGAGGGAAAGTCCAATGTCACACTCAAATCATTGAAATCGGAGACTACATGGTGACCGTTGCTATTTGAAGTTGAGGCGATGGTGAGGTCGGCTTTGAACAGGGTTGTGGATACGACGGTAGAGGTGTAGGAGAAAGACGGGTAAGCAAGAGATAGAGAAGAGTTGGCTGATCTGATGGTGTAGGGGTGGATGTATTCAGGTTGATCCCCATTGCCGAGGACAAAGTTTTGGAAGAAGGAGTTGGTGGGGAGCGGGGATGAGAGGAGGTTCGAGGCAAAGAAGGTTGAAGGGTCGGGGACGATGGTGGACTGAGCTTCCGGGAAGAGGAACGGGGCGGGGGTAGCCTGCGGAATCAATGCCGAAAAACACAGTATACAGACGACGAGAGCAAGAGAAGAGAGCATGCTTGCCATGATGCCTTTGATTTAGTTCGTAAACTAGTTGTAAATTATCAGTATTTCAATCTGACTTGTATTTTTATAGGGATTCTATGGTTATGTACGAGATTTTACAGGGATTCCTAATTTTCGTGGGAAATTTGAAATCCTTGTCAGATTTGGAATTACTAGTTTTGAGAACTAGGTAAAGTATTGTGATTTTTCTCCTCAACAAGTATGGTTTTTTGTGTAACTTGCTCATTTTTTTGGGTGAAAAGTTGTTTTATTTCAACACAATAATTACATAAGAAAGGGCCGAGATACACACACATAAACAAAAAGAAGGACCTCAGAAGCAACTAAAGAGCCCAAAATAAAATTTTGAGTCCAAAACAAACCCTAGCAGCTTCAACCCATTGTCGCCAGAAAGCCGCTTACCAACCAACAGAAACGAATGTTCCCTGCACACACCTGAAAAGAAGCTGAAGAGAGCCCCAAAATTAGAAGAAAACTGAGTGAAAACAGAACCCCAAAACAAATCCCCAAACACCGCCGAGCACCACACCGGTAGCTGCCACATATCGGAAGAAGCAACCCGTTAGCAACAGGGCCCACAAAGTGAAACCCAAAACGAAGGAAGCCAGTGGAAAGAGCACCCCACTAACAACAGTGCCATCAAAGGCAATCCCAAGGAAGGAGGTGATGTGAACACCCAAGTGAAAACTCTACACACCTTCCAGGTAAAACGCAAAAAATCGTAGTACAAAGATGTAGAAGTCAACCCGTTAGCAACAGGGCCCACAAAGTGAAACCCAAAACGAAGGAAGCCAGTGGAAAGAGCACCCCACTAACAACAGTGCCATCAAAGGCAATCCCAAGGAAGGAGGTGATGTGAACACCCAAGTGAAAACTCTACACACCTTCCAGGTAAAACGCAAAAAATCGTAGTAAAAAGATGTAGAAGTCAAACCAGGATGTGAAGTCGAAGAAGGATGGGGCTGATTGGGTTGAAGATGGAGTGAAGTGGCGAGGAAAGTGGAGGAAAAATGAGAAAAAAATGGAAAGAAGATGCAAAGAAAGGGAAAATGGAAGAAACGGCTGAAGGAAAAAAAAGTGGAAGGAAGAAGGAAAGTGGAAGGGAGGAGAGAATGAAGAAAAAAAGGGGGAAAAGTGGAAAGGAAGTGGAAGGGAGGAAGGAAATCAGGGAAAAAGGGGTTACAGACAGAGAAATCAGGGGCGCAAGAAGTTGGAAAAAAAAATGATGATCAGGCCCCTGGAGAGGGGGAAACAGAAGTTCAGGGAGAAGGAAAGGAAAAGAAAAATGGAAAAGGATAAGAAGAGGACTACCACCGACCCTGGCCATAGCTAGGGTCGGCGGCTGTGGGAGGGACGAAACGGGGAACACTCAAACACTGATAAGAAAGGCTCTCACAAGGAGAGAAAAACTCTCATTTTGGAAGAGAAAAACATAATGCGGTGGTAAAAAAAAAAGGGAAAATTTTGAAGCTGATACGTGGACTTTTATCTGCTGCTGGCAAGAATGTTTTCATTAATTTGAAGAACTACAACTTCTTCAAGCTCCACCATCCGTAGCAAAAAGACAAAACAAGAGAATTAAAGAGGGGATCAATGGGGACGCTTTGAATATGTAATTCCAGCTTTTGTAAGGGTTCCAACTTTAAGTGGGAAATTAGAAAGGAAAGCCCAGTGAGATTTGGGCGAGATTTCAAAAACTAGGAAACCTTATTTTCATTTTTTGGTCACCTAATTATATAGGGTTTTGTTTTAATTAGAGCATCTCCAACGGATTATACAAATACGATTCTTCAAATACATATTTGCCGACCCATGTGGCAATTTGAAGATGCAAAAGAAGCCCGAAATATCATTGCTTATAGGAGGAGAAAAAGTACCGAAACGGACACGAAAAATGGCAACAAAATTTAGACTCTATCGGGCATCATCATCCTCCGCTAACACAACCATAAAAAAGGTAGCAGAATGTCTGAAACCATCAAATTTTTATTTTTACAAACCGATGCCAACAAAATAGAATGATTTCCTCTACCATATGGACTTGTTCCGAGAAAAAAGAAACAAACATTTTAGAACCGAATAGAAGTCAGCCTGGAAAGACAACTATACTACGCTCTACCTCTGCTCTCTGCCGCAGTGAGCAATGAGCCCGCTCATGGCTTGAGAGCGAGAGCCAACCCAATCTTGGCGCTCTTCTCAATGGCCTTGGTGTCTACCTCTCCTGAAACAGTGACGAATGACTTTGGGCGCCACTCGTGCTGGACCAGGGCACTTGCCTTGCCAAAGTTGTTCACACGTGCCTTAATGGTTGTCAATGGATCAAGGGCGTGCTGGGTGCCAAGAGTGATGGTATTCTCGTTGGTGGGAAACCTGTGAGTCACCTCCGCACCAACAGCTGTGTTGGAGAGGGGATTGACACTGTGATAGTACGATGCACTGAGGATGTCACCTTTATCATTCCTGTATCACGAAAACTAATCTTTATCGCACCATGCACCAAAAGTTCAACATCACGAGGCCAATATACGTAAAATCAAACAAGCCAATCTTAGACAACCGAAAGAATACTTACAGGGTCAATGCAGCAATTAGATCAGCATTGCAGAAGCTCAATCCAGCATTGCATTTAGTCAAAATCCCAGTCTTGGTGTCAAATGACAGATCAGTACCAAGTGCAAGCTGATTGGTTCCAATAACACCGGAGAAGTTAACAATAGGGTTGGCTGTCAAACCAACACTGGAGCTTATCCCCGCAAAGTCATGCAGATATTGGAGTTCCACCTGTTAACAATCGCCCACATATTAGATAGCAATTCTACAACTGATCCCGATTAATGAAATGCTTTACTACACAGAGTGAACTGCATCGACCCACAAGTTTTACCACATATAACAGTCCTACCTTGCCAGACCTCTGATCAGGAACTTTGAAGCTAAAGATTGCCTTCAGGCCAGGAGCAGGTTGATCAACTGTAATAGTGGTGGACAGCTGATAACAAAACAAACCATTGGTACACAACTTAGCAAGAAAATATGAGTAAATTAAACTAATTAATTTATTCAGTTGTTAATGTAGTAAAGCTCCTCAGTTCCATTATATCTGAATGAACATTTAACACTATTTCTAATGGACATGTGGGCGTCAAACAAAAAGCAAGGAAAAATGAAAATACTTAAGGCATTTACAATAAAAACGTCAATAGGATCCAGTAAATCAAAATAGAAGGAAAAGAAACATAAACGGATGTGTACTTACATTGGAGTCGGTGTCAACTTTGATATCAGTTGTGACATTCTTGTTTTTCAACTGAGTGTTCACATCACCCAGAAAAAACTCACCCTTGTTGGTTGCTGAAGTAGTGATAGCCTGCAGATATGAAGCGGTAAGTAATTGTAGGAAATATGGTTAACTTAGAACTTGTAAACTATAGGGCTGGTCATGTTGAACGAAGAGTCGGTAAGAATGGTACGTGCAAGGGAAAAGTACACGGAAAATTATATGAATCACTTGTAATATTACGCTGCTCATTGAGTTTGGCTAGAAAATCCACTAAATTTCTTAAACTCGACAAAATCTAATAATACAACCGAAAGAAGTTAACTCAAAACTAGCAAAGAATCGGAACCCCGGCATAAAATAAAAAAGTTCTTAAATACAACAAAATCTAATAACTAAGCCGCAAAGGATGTTAGTTCAACTCACCAATTCAACATAATCACAGAAATAAATCAATACTTAACACTTCAAGCTTAAATGCCACCAAATTCTAACCCAAAATATTAATCAACTTTCAAAAAAAATTAACAGGAGAAAAAAGGTTACAAGCTAAACCACTAAGCATAATATGAAACAGAAAGTTAGGAGTTTCAATCGGAGCCGAATAATTTCTCCGAAAGTGGAATAAAACTATGTCTCATATCAAGAAACAAAATCCTAAAGATTCAACAAGTGAATATAAATATACAAACACAAAGATACAGATCTCAGAGCAAGAAAAAAGAGGGAAAAAGCTTACCACTCCAGTGGGAGAGAAGGTAGTGATGGTGAACTTCTTGTCGCTCTGGTAATCCTTGTACAGAAGATCTGAAATTTAACAAAAACCCATTAGAAAAAATGAAATTTAAGAAAAACCCATCAGATTTTTACAACCAAATTAATATATACACATATATACACACATATACATACATATATCAGATAATGTAAAAGGAGGGATAGCTATACCTCTAGCTTTCTTGCCGATGTCGGTGTAAAGCCCAGGTCCCACCATTTCTCAGCAAAGATTTGGGATTTGAGGGCGAAAAATGGAACCCAGAAGGGATTTGGGCGTCTCTGTAGCTCTCTGAGAAGCAGAAGTGAGAAATGGCGAAAGGCAATGAGCGATATATATTGGGGGAGGCGAAATGCCCTAAATCACTCACCCGATTTCAATTTCACCTTTCTTTTCGGCGAGTTTTTTATTTTTACTCTATTTTTCATTTTCGATTAAATCGTGGCCGTCGGATCTCGCTTTCCTTACCGTTGATTTGTCTATTTTCTAGATTTTATTTATTTTTTGTGAATTTACCCGTGAGACTTGGAGTTTCGGCCAAGCTAATTTGATCTGGTGAATTTTGCCAAATTGGTCTTTTTCTTTTCCCCAAAGCAAAGGACTTTATCCTTTTTTCCTATAATTTACCAAGAAAATAAATAATAGGTTTTTTTTTATATAGTTTATTCATCATTTTCTTTGTGGTGAAAAATAAAATGGTTGTGATGATCCTATCATAACAAAATTAGTGGCTGTGACAATGACATCTCTTGTTTAGTACTACACGAAGATTGGAATTATTTGAGAAACTCATAGCAATGGTTTTTTAATTTTAACTCAATTGGAGTAATAGTTCATTAATTAAAATTTTGTGACTATTAGTCCCTCAACTCATCTAAACGTGCAACTATGTTCATTTTCGTCAACTCTGTTAGAACTTCCGTCAAAATGAGTCACGTGCCATGGATGTGAGGCTGAATCAAAAGACAAATATGGAAACCAAATAAGAAAAATTGTAGCAATGTTCCCTCGATTTTAACCCAATTAAAGAAGTGATCCCTTAACTCTAACTCAATTGGAGCAATGTTCTCTCAACTTTAACCCAATTAGAGCAACAATCTCTCCACTTTAGCCCAATTATAATAATGGTCCCTCCACCATGTTTTGGAGTATGACATGCATCATAAGAGGATCTCTAACGAAGATGTCAAATGTAAAAATCAAATTTAAATTTAATAGATTATGTGGCAATTTAATATCATGCAAAACTATAGACCGATATGTCAAAATATTTCATTCTGTATTATTTTGTTCTGTTATATTTATGAGTTATTAAAGAAGTGAACAATTTCAAGGAAACAAAACAGGTTGTATTTATTGTGGGGAAGATTATGGTTAACTATAACTAATAATCAATTATAACCCATGAAAGAGATTAATTAAGGATATGCTAATTAAGTACATGATTGTGGTTGATTGTACCACTTCAGTTAGCTAACTGCAATCTAATAGAAATGACCTGGATGCGATGGAAAACTTCAACAAAACGGTCATAAACTTTCACTCTTTGTCTGTATATGAAACTGTCTATCTCTCTCATCACGTAAAATTCTAGCACCACGAAAATGTAGTGGGGTATAAGATGTTCCATTAAGTCTTGTCCTCACATTTTGGGCAAACTGTCAACCGTTAGAAGAAAATGGTTCCCACCTTCTACGGTTCTAAATTTAGACAACGTTTTCTCTATAAAATTCAAAATTTTCATTGAGAAAAACAAGCAATACAATAGTATTGCAATATACTTTAGAATCTTTTTTTTTCTTTTTTTCAATTAATCTTTTTCTGGCAAGGTCTAGCTGGGCTGGAATCTGATCCCGGTTAAAACCTGGGCTCGATCTCATAGACCTTGCCATTTCTAGAAACTTTGTTCTAAAAAAAATTATTAAAAAAAAAAAAAAAAAAAAAAAAACGAAAAAAAAGGGCAAAAAAATATACTTGGACCAATGGCGTCGAAGCTCAATTTGGCCTTTCTTATGATATCTTTCTGCATGCTGGTTCCAAGCTTGAAGGCTGAGACACAAAATGACACCCTCAACATTGCTGAGTTCGACTCTGTATGGCAGCAACGAGCCCTGAAAGCTCAGAAGGCAGCTCTCAAGGCCTACCAACCCAACCCGGAACGAGTAACCGAGGACTTCAACGAAAGCGTTGAAATGTACGTAAATCCGACATTTTTATCCTTTATTGTCTTCAAATTTTGTTTATCAATCTATATTGTTGCGTTTCTTTCCCAATGTTTGTATCATTTCATCTGAATATGTTCTTTTAAACGAAGGGCGACGCACTGGTAATCAGTAGTAGTGCTCGAAAGTGATCATGCATGATGATAATGTAGGGTTTTTAACGTTCATGTTGTACATATATCGTCTATTTATTAAAAACGAGACGATAATTAGTTAGATGGTACAAATAACAATATCCTTAATCGACCATGCATGGTAACGCAGGACAATCATTGAGGACGACCACGACGACGATCATGCTGCGGGCAACAGCACAGGGAGGCATCTGTTAGGCAAACGTTACACGGGCCCTTGCAAGGCCACAAACCCGATCGACCGCTGCTGGCGGTGCCAGGCCAACTGGGCTGACAACCGCAAGCATCTGGCCAGCTGCGTGAAAGGCTTCGGCCGCAAGACACGCGGAGGCAAGAAAGGGGCTTACTACATCGTCACCGACCCTTCGGACGACAGTATCCATGACCCTAAGCCCGGAACCCTACGTCACGCGGTGATCCAAAAGCAACCCTTGTGGATCATATTTGCACGCAGCATGGTCATCAGGCTGACCCAGGAGCTCATAGTAACAAGCCACAAGACAATTGACGCACGCGGGGCAAATGTACATATTGCTCATGGCGCTGGGATCACACTCCAGTTCGTGCAGAACGTGATTATTCATGGCCTCCGCATCCACGACACTGTACCGGGCAATGGAGGTATGATCAGGGACTCCGTGGATCACATCGGGATTCGCACGCAGAGCGACGGAGATGGTATCTCCATCTACGGATCGTCTAACATTTGGCTTGACCATCTTTCTATGTGGAATTGCGCCGATGGGCTCATCGACGCCATTCAAGGGTCCACTGCTATAACCATATCCAACAGCCACTTCACCCGTCACAACGACGTACGTTTTTGTTTATTTTTAAATGATAATGGTCGGGAAATGTTATTGACATTACAAAATAGGATAACAAAGAGTAACTAATTGGCGACACTAATGGTGCAGGTGATGCTTTTCGGAAGTAGCGATGGGTTTTCTGGGGACGCAATCATGCAGATAACAGTTGCATTTAACCATTTCGGCAAGGGATTGATACAGAGAATGCCAAGATGCAGATGGGGATTTATCCATGTTGTGAACAATGACTACACACATTGGATCATGTATGCCATCGGAGGAAGCTCTCACCCCACAATTATCAGCCAGGGCAACCGATTCATCGCCCCACCGAACCAGGCTGCAAAAGAAGTACATACACGAACACAATATTATCAATTAATACGTACGCGAACACATGATTACTGAAGTAATGTTTTAATTTTGTGACGCTTGAATTTACAGGTGACGAAGAGAGACTATGCACCGGAGAGCGTATGGAAGAGCTGGCAATGGAGATCAGAAGGAGATCTTATGCTAAACGGAGCATTCTTTGTTCAATCTGGTGTGCCTAACAAGAACCATGGATTTGGAAAGTTAGACGTGATGAAGGCAAGGCCAGGCACATACGTCTCAAGGCTCACACGCTTTGCAGGTTCTCTCAAATGCAATGTTGGCCACCCATGCTAGAACAAACATAAAAGAGCTAACTACATATCAATGGTGATCAAATGGATAGGCGGCCGGCCGGTGCCGGAAGGTGAAGTGTGATAACTGAAGAGAAATAAATGAAGAAGTGACGGTGAAGTGTAGAGAAATGTGGATATAGATTCTTTTACTTGCTTGTTTTTATTTGTGTTTTAATCTATATTATGTATAAACAAACCCAAGGGTTATGTTGTAGTAATATTTACACCCTAAGCAATAAAAAGCAAATAAAAGCGAGACAAGTAGAGAATCCAATCCAAATTTGTGGATTTATGAACATTGTTTGTGAGTACGAACAGCTTTTAATTTTAAATTTTAAATTTTTTTCAGGTTTTTATTTATTTTCCTTTGTAACAAGAAATGTATACAGCTTGAAACATCTCTAAACAAAAAATTTACTTCGTAAAAAGAATAAGATTGTAGATAATACAGCAATATCCGACTATCATTCGTGGCGTCGCTACCGTTTTCAGGTACAAAAGAGATGAAAGTATGGGTGCCTTGAAAGGAAATGTAGTTTTAGATTGAGAATTACAAGGGTTTTGGAAACATTTGAAAATTTAACCAGAAAACATTTAGGCAAATCATAAATGAGGGTCCATATTTCCTGTGAAGTTCAGGCGTTGGAACACCTCCATAGGCAACCGTGGCCATCGCCACTGCCGCCTCCGATTTCAATTAAAGAAGATTGAAATAAGGGTTGAGATAGAGGAGACTACCGGAAGTAGTTGTTCTATTAACAGTGAAAGAAGAGCACTACAAATATTTTTGGGTTACAAGCATGCAAGACACCGTACTGGAAACTCGGAGTATCTGAAAATAGTCGTCTTGCACAAAAACGGGTATTTTATGACCTAACTAGTACATCAAGTATATAATGTTAACCATACATTGTACAAATAAAATACATAGATGCTAGAAAGAAACTAACACAAATCCTACCGATGAGCAAGAGCCAAAGGAAACACTACTCTTCGAACTAAAAACTGCCTCGTTCCATTTCCTATCTTAATCGACGCGCTTTCAATCAGATTCGTTGCCCGAATCTATGTTCATGGGTTGGGGGTTCTTGTAGCCACTAATTTCATCTTTGTAGCGTTCTTTATCTTGACGAGCCTTTGCTTCATATGGCTCCTTTTCATCGGCTGAAAAATGGAAAACATGGCGTCAAGTTATAATTCGCCGAAATTAATCATGTTGTGGAAGCACACTGGATGCAATTTAGTCGAAGCATACATACCCGACATCTTTTTCCACTTCTCTCCAAGTGCTCTCCCCACATCAGTAAACGCAATTCCAGGGTTCTCTCTCTTTACATTCTGTGGTCAACACAAATAAGGTCAGTAATTTTCTTCGAAACGTCAATAAGAACCTGAACCAAAAGTTAGAACCAATAGGTAGAAATTAAAAAACCCACCTCTCTCTCCATGTTTGAGAAGAACATGAAACCAGACATCGCTCTTTTCGGTGCATTTGGATCCTTTTTCTTCTTCTGTTTTTTCTTCTTTGAACCATCTTCACCTGCATCTTTGGTTTTTTGTTTCTTGGAAGATGGTACCTTGGAAGTTGAAGGTTCCTTACGAGACTCCTTTTTTGCAGGCTTCTGAAATTGACAATTCATGTTACATTGATAAATCTTCGCACAATTATAATTACTAGGCCAGCAAAATTAATAGAAATGACTTGCCTCTTTTTCACCTCCGCTTTCACTAGCATCAGAATCATCCTCACCGGAGTCATCAGTAGGAGAACCTCCATCATCCTTGTCAATAACAAAATCTTCATCCTGCCAAAGTTAAACACGTTCAACACATTTAGACTGGAATATCACATGACACATGTCAACACAAAAGTGCACTTGCAGAAACACACACGGATGCATGAAACTACTAGAACTAACCACGATTGCCCAAGGAAAACAGTTATGGAATTACCAACTATCCAACTATCCAAAAAAATTTTGATTAAAGTCCGAACGACATAATTGATGTATGTTTTAAGTGTGGATAGAGTATCCACTACAAGTGTCCTGTTCACAAACATCCGCTTTTACAAACTACAGAAGAACTTTCAGCATTTTACAGATCGACAAAGGATATACATAGCAATAGGAAAGAAAAATATAAGTAGTTTGCCAAACTGTATCCTATTAATAGTGCAGTCCATGATATATTCGATCCAAAGAGAATCAGACCAAGAAAAAAACAAAAGTAAACAAATAATATAGGATAAAAGTTCCACCTCTTCATCACTCTCATCATCACCAGCTTCATTCTTCACACGGACAAGATGCGGGTCAACAGCATCATCATCTGCGTCATCAAGAAGAGGAGCCACACCACCATTTGCTGCTTGGCCCTCTCCTAAGTTCATGATTTTGAGACCCTTTGAACTGCACATGACATGTGGCCAAAAGGTCAAATTTTAAAATCCACAGCACCAAAGACCAACTATGGAAACCAGCACTCATTACCAACCTGATGAAGTCAAAAAGATTATGATATTCATTCCTCTGAATGTTTCGGAACAGGTGTTCTTGCTCACTTTTGAGTCTGATGAGAAGATCAAAATAGTGCATATTTGAACCTCCAGCGCCATGCCTCTCAAATTCCACATAGTCAATCTTGCAACAGAAACACCAAAAAGAAAAAGGGTGAGGTTCCACTTATCAATCAGGTATATCAGCACTATAATCTCAATCATATGCATGCATATTCTACCTGATCATGAAGAATAAGGGTGGGAGGTTTTGGTAGAAAAAAGAAGCTCTTCTCCAGAGGATATAGAACACCATCTTCAGCTTTCAATGAAGATTTGACAGCATAACCATCTTGACAGCTGCGAAATTTTCCCGGTTTCGTAACTTTGGCACCAGACAAGCCACGCAGTATTGTGGTGAACACTTCATGCATTAGTCCCTGTTAATTTAAAAATAAAAGAAATAACGACAGCACACGTCAATTACCACACTGTTTTAAACAAATAAAACAACAGTTTGTTAGATTACAATCTTCAGGAGAGTAGAAGGAACTATCTACCTTGTAAGATAGTTCTAACTTGTCCTTGTACTTCGTGTTCATAAGTTCTTCACTCATTGCCAGGTCGGTTTGATACACGAGGTCAGTTTCAAACTTCACAAGACAGAAGATGTCAATTGAAGGAAACATTGAAAAAAAATCAAACCAGTGATCAACAAGGCAAAGAAACAAACACTACCTGCAAAACAATATGTGGGTACAATGTTTGCCCTTTACGGATAGGAGGATCAAGAGTAACAACAACATAGGTATGAGGCTGGTTAGACTGCACAAACAAAGAAGAGTCTATTATAGATATGCCAAAGCCACAGTAACTGGTTCCAAGAATGGAGTATTTAGAACACTGATAGTCCTTTCAGCCGTTGAAGAGAACTCACTAATATGCATGGAACAATGTTATAGGTAACTAAGATAATTATGTAAAACAAAAGCTTTGCTTTGGAAGAAGAACAAGTGAAAAACTAATTGTAGTGCCCAAGATAAGAGTGAAACCTTCGGAAGTAGAAACAGCCGAACAACACTGCTGTACTGAATTTTGAAATCATTAGCCTGTCCTTGTAGCCGCAAGAATGAAAGATGAAGTTCCACGCTGTAGCGACCCCTACATTAAACGAGTACTTCCATTAGCCTGGCATTGCATATGGAAAGAAATCCATGCACCAGCATAGTACATATACGCATAATCTAATAAATACAGACGGCGCATGTTCCTATGCTAGTATGGATCAAAGTAGGTGCAGTATCCCTAGCATTTTCATTAATATCTACCTTGGTGTGAGGATTGCAATGCTATCAAATGTGGTAACAGCATCTTCACCTCCAGAACCAACATCTGCCATCGATGAGATTTTGTCACGAAAAACCTACATAATATTCAATTAGAAATTATCAATATATCAATTGCAAGATCAATGAAAAAAAAGGACATACAAAACTCTTATCACATAGCAAGAACTAAATTACCTGAGCAGGAGGATGGCTCTCGTCACCAACAAATTGAGTATTGGAGTTGGGTATATGAAAGCTTATTTCCATCAACGAATCTTTCTGTTGTAAATATAACACAAATAGAAAAATACTCATAAGCAAACAACTCAGTATGGAACTATTAATTACTCAAGAAAAAACCTAGATTTTATGCCAAAGAGAGCTCATATCTAACTATGGGTAACTATAGAACCATAAGTATCAATGTAGAAACTCCCACCATCTTTAGGAAAAAGTATATGAAACACCAAATATAAGCAACAAACCTCATTAGCTCCTGTGGTATCATCCACATGGAACTCTAAGATGACATCATTTTTTCCCTGAAGTTGTGTTTGTGAGACATCAGCCAAAGATACCTCAAATGCTTGCTTGGAGTCAACCAAGAAAGTCAGCATATTCCCTGCAGAACGGAAGAGATGTTTAACAAACCAATGATACAACCAAGGGAATCATTATCGTCAGAGAAGGAATCATACATGGACGAATGGTAAAAAAATCATAACAGCACCGCACAAGACCATTTCTTAAGGATATTAAACATGCACAAAAAGAAATGTCCAGTTGCTCTAAGACTCCATAAAAGACAAAGCATTAAGTTGAAAAATGCGAAAATGGAAGAACCAATTTCAAGCAATTTCAGCTGCACATTATGTTTAAAGATGTAGCAAGCAGAAATCATCTTCCCAACTTTCATCAATGAGAAATTGAGAATCCATCCACATACCAAAAAACATGGAAAAAAGCAATTTTACAAGAAAAAAAGTGATCATAACAAAGAATGCAAGGTAGATCAAAATAAGTAAACAACAGGCAACTTGAATATAAGAGAACATCACTGACCACTTAAATCGACTTCTCCCCAATTACGTCCACTTACAGAAAGTTGCTTCTCCGCCGGTGTTAACCCACATGTATTTTGAAAATAATTGGTCAAACTAGTGACGTCCTACAATGCAATCACAGCATTAAAGAGCCAAAAATCAGTATGCAGTTCATATCCCTGCAGAGCATCATTGACTGAAAGCTACTTTTTAGTTTAGTCTATCATAAATCAAAATCACAATTGGCATGCCTCAGATGCATGAAAAAAAATACACAGTTTAAACCATCACCTAGTGAATGAAAGTTCTTATGGATGCGCATTTGTTAAATAATTACAAGACTTTTTGTAGTATATATTAAACAAAAACATAAGACAAGAAGTGGATCAGTGAATAATTCTATGTAAATGCTCACCAACCTGGTCACGAAATCCAATGAACTTGTAGTATAACCCGTCTTTAATCTGAACACCAAGTTGGTTAGTCTTTGGGACCTTCATCCATGTTACGCCGACAATGTCAGCTTTATCAACCTCGACTGCTTTACCACCTCCCTGTTTTTTCCATAAAATTCCTCCTGAAAATATTTTAAGCTGCCCTGGATTCTGCATTCCACATGCAACACAATGAGTTAGTTTACATTTCCTCGGATTTCCATGGCAACCAAGCAGAGCATATTCAAATTTCTCGTCACCAAAAAGTGAAAGACTTCGTTGAAACTTAAATGAATGGAAATTCAACACGAACAACCGAAACAAAACCCCGACTTCCCTATCCCAAACCCTACAATTCCCGCTCTGCACAAAATTAATAATTACAAATTTATCCACAACCAAATTGCACAAAAATCACAGAAAATCCAGGAAGGAACAAATTAGGGTTTCAAAGGGACCAGTAGAAAGAAAACCCAGCTACCGGAATCCCCAAAAACCCTCATTTCTACACGAAATTCAACCGACCCAAATAAACTGAAACCAACTGCATTCCCAAATCAAAGAGGACTCATTCATATCGCATTTGAAAAAGTTCAGAAGGAAAAACCCTAATCGACGAACGAAACCCCAAAAATTCCAGCTACCACGAATCGGAGCCGGGAATAGAGAGACTAACCGTGCCGCCGCGGCCACCAAGGGAGATGTTGTTGAAGAGGTGGCCGTCCGTCATGGCTTCTCACGGTCGAGGAATCGAACCCGTGGTGCGGAGCTAAGCTTCGAGCATGAGAGAAAGAAGTAGTGAAGGTTTGAAGCGTGAGGGAGTGTGCGTTTGAGATGGAGAGGAGGGAGTTTTATAGTTGGATTGGCGGTGCGCATTGCGCACTGCCCCCAATGCGCGCCAATTGAGATGTGTTGCGCTGTCGTTTTGAAACCCAAGCAAGCCCAACTATAAACTAATTGGGCTGGGTGGTATCTGTCCCATTCACAAGCCCGTTTATACGAACTTTTCTTTTTTCGCGTTTTAGCTACTACTGTTCTTGAGATTATCATAATTCTTTAGTTCTTGAGATTGAAAAATGATAAAAGTGATCCCTGAGTTTGTCCAATGTCAATCATTTTGCTCATTTCGTGAAAATAATTTTTGTCCAATCAACCCCTCCACTTGCTTTTCCATTTCACGAAGATTTCTCACAGAATGACCAAAATGATTGAAGGTAGACAAATTTATGAACCATTTCTATAGATTTTCACTGGACCAAAGTGAAGAGTTATGCCAATATCAAAAACCATTTTAACTAAAAAAAAACCTTTCTTTTTTATGTTGAAAATAAAGGAGAGGTCAAAAGAGAATAAAACTTGAGTCTCTACATAGGATCTCGAGTCTCTACATTTAGAAACCGTGTATTTACCCGCATTTTATAAAATTTTAAACATTCAAACGATCCAATGACGCTGGAGAGAACAAGTCAGCTTGAATTTTTTTTCCTCGTTTATCTCATTCTCTAAATTGAACATATCTTGCCGTTAGTCCTCGTTTCAACTCCTCCATCTCCTCCGTTTCTCTTGTCGGCACATTGAAAAAATCTCCCCACGAAGAGGGAGGAGATTGGGAAACGGAAGCCTGAACGTACCATCAATTTTCACTAAAATGACAAACTTAACCTCTTCTCCAAAGTCATTGGATCATTTTAATGCTTAAGATTTTATGAAATGCGAGTAAATGCACAACCCTAACTACAGAGACTCGGAATTCCTTAAATATATATTAGTTAGTACTACAATTAACAAGTACATTATGAGAAGTAAATAATATATAACAATATTAACAACAATGTCTGTTGAAATTATTATTTTCAAAGAAAAAATTTCCTAGGAAATACCGTGGGATCCGTAGGTATCAGCCTCAAAAAAGCATCAGAACCTGAATGTAATTAATTACTATATTAATTAAAGACTAATTAAACATAAAATTCCAAACTCACCGACGAGCCCTAAGGAATTTTAGAATCAGAAACCGACCAGCTGTTTTAAAAAATATCATTATTTCTTGACAAACACTCCATCTTTCTACTTGTTTTCTTGCTTTTTCTACAGTGGTTTACTGTTCTTGTTTTATATATATATATAATAAGATAAACATGGTTGATTTGCAGGAACTTGCAGCTGGTCGATGTCAATGACCAAGATCAGCAAGAACTTTCAGCTGGTCGATGTCATTGACCAAGATCAGCACACGCATTCGTTTTTTAATCTTTTATTTTGTTGGGTTGTTTCGGTCACTTTCATACCAACTGCCTGAAACTTATTTCAGCATGAAAGTAAACCTGTCAAATCACCAGTTGTACTATACATTATCATGTGTTTGTCTTTCTAATATTCGGTGATTATATAGAAATATAGTTGCACATAATCAATGACAACCAAAAATTTCACCCATAGATCGTAGTGAGAACAAATTTAAAGGGGGTATGAGTTTTACTTCATATCAATCTTTAGACAATGTGGATCTAGTATGTTGATTGCTATAAGTAGATGAGGTTGAAACTCAAATCTTATATGAACAAATTAACCGCAATTAAACTTTGAAAGTTACTTTTGATGCTTGAAAGTTACCCGAATTTAAATTATCTAATCATTGTAGATGTCGATTATGTCAATTTGTAAGAAAAATACATATGTAAATTAAATCAGTTGGTTATGACAATGTATCGTCTACCCTATTGTACCAAGTTAAAATCATCCTTCCCTTTTTTAAATATATATATGTACACACACATGTGTGTGTGTGTAATTGTATATTATATACACAACCATTGAATGGACGGGAAAACCCTTCAAGAATTTAAACTGGCATGCCGCATGCAGCAGCAGCAACGAACCGGCCATATGAGCAACTCCAAACCACATGGAACCTTCAGAATTTTGGATATTTGTGTTTACCAAACACAGTACGGACATTTAAAATTTTCTTAGATGCTTTGATTTCATCGTTCCCCTTTTCTAATCCAAAGCAGTTGTGGCAACACAAAACAAAAACAGCATAAATCCGAAACAAGCACACAAATTATATAAACGTTCAAATATCCTTCCTTACCGTCTAAGCAACCACGGAAACAAAGACCACAGATTGAAGGAAGAAGAGAAATAAAAGAGCCCGATCGATCGAGGGCTTGTTATAAGAGATGGAGTTGACGATGGTGAAGAATGAAGAGAACCCTGGGAGGCGCCACCTGTGTGCAGAAGACCCTGAGGCTCAGGCTGCCGGGTGTGTCAACAGAAGGAGAAGAGACCCGCCTCCAGTTGCGGGCAGTTGCGAAAACAGCCAGACTGAGCAGAAGTTGCCGCAAAAGCTAGCCGATCAAACTCTTGTTACCACCATGAAGAGAAGCTCGAGATTTCGTGGTGTCAGCAGGTTAGAAAAGAACATAAGTTTCAATGGTTTTATGTGGTTTCTTCTTTCGTGTGTAAAAATATTAAGCTAATTTGTTTGTTTAACAGGCATCGGTGGACTGGTCGATTCGAAGCTCACTTGTGGGATAAGCTCTCATGGAATGTAACACAGAAGAAAAAAGGGAAACAAGGTAGATTATACGTTCATTTTTTTTTTTTTTTTTTATGTATTTTACTTCACTGTTTTTAATCATCTAGCCTTCTGGTACTGATATCTGCTTCCTTGTTTGAAATCGTGTGTTGTATTGCATCGCTTTCGGATGGACTATTTGGACTGAGCAGTTTACCTTGGAGCTTATGACAAAGAAGAATCTGCTGCAAGTGCATATGATTTAGCAGCACTCAAGTACTGGGGAGCATCGACTTTCACCAACTTCCCGGTACGAAATCTCAAGACAAAGGAATGTTGTGTGCTTTTGCATGGTTTTGGAAGTTTAACATAAAACCCTACTGTTAATTTGCAGATATCGGACTATGAGAAAGAAATCGAGATCATGCAATCTGTCACGAAAGAAGAGTTTTTGGCCTCGTTAAGAAGGTACGTCCTCAAACATCTTTCTGCAGAAAGACTTCTGCAGTTGAGAATTTCCTTGATCTCTGAATTTCCTAAAATATTAGGTGTTTCCTTTTGTTTCAGAAACAGCAGTGGATTTTCAAGAGGTGTATCTAAGTACAGAGGAGTAGCAAGGTAATATTCTTAATATTTCGAGTATCTTCGAGTCAAATTCTACAGAAAATTACTAATGAAGAAAAGTGTCCGATGATTATTTTGTGCATATGTATATTTTGCAGGCACCATCATAACGGCAGATGGGACGCAAGAATCGGAAGAGTTGTCGGAAACAAGTACCTCTACCTTGGCACTTACAGTAAGTTGTCTTCAAACCCGAAAACCAGTTTGGATACTGTGAAAGAAGCTGTCACGAAAGAGGAAATTGAAAAATAATCTGTGCAAACACGTTCGTTCTTAACGATCTATCAACAATTATTGATGGTATATCAACACGTTAATGATGATATATCAACAATCGGTTATTTATTAAAGATAGTGAAATCATAACGAAGACACCGAGTGACATGTTTCTATGTCATTTCAGGTACCCAAGAGGAAGCAGCTCGAGCCTACGACATTGCAGCGATTGAGCACAGAGGGATCAATGCCGTCACCAGTTTTGACCTGAGTTCTTACATAAGATGGTTGAAGCCAAAAGCTGGCGACACCGTAGCCACTCAAGAACCAGAATCAGTCACAGAGCCTCAGAACATGCCGTTCATGACCAGTGGCTACATCCCAGCAGACGAAACATCCTTCTCACACACCAACCCTTTTGCCTCTGACTATCTGAACTCTCCACGAAAGCAAGAAGTCACCCGAAGCAGCACCAATCTTAACGCCGGCAGCAAGTCATCTTCTCCCACTGCGCTTGGTCTCCTCCTTCAATCTTCAATATTCCGAGAGCTGGTTCAGAAGAACTCAAATTTCTCCGAGGATGACAGCACCGACGGCTAGGAACCAAAGAACCAACCCCAGGTGGGTAGCGATGATGAGTACGGTGGAATCTTCTATGAGGGAACCGGCGACAACCCATTTGATTGCTCCTCCACCACTGACGGCGACAATCCATGGAGCAACATTGCAAGCACGATTTTGTTCAATCAACCCACAAAGGCAAATGCTTCGGAGACTCTATTTTTCTGTTCTTAGATGCATGCGAAACAGAACAAGAACATCTTCGTATGGGAAGAAAATTTTGTATTATTTGTAAGCAAGCAGAACTGGCGCATCAAATGTATACAGTTTGAGATTGATGCTGCATATCGATGTAAATTAGACACCTTAATAACGTCGAGTTCATGGTTTTGGGAATGTAATAATTCCAACTCGCTCAGTTTCTGCATGAACAACTTTCCTTAAAAAAAAATTTGGCCAACCGACTTCCGCAATCTGTGGAACCCAGTGTTAACTTGCAGCTGCTATGGTCTCACACTGGGTTCCACGGATCGTCTTTATATGTGGCCCTATAGACGGTTTCCTGGAAGTCGGTTTAAAAGAACAACGCCACCATAAAAGTAACACACACCCTTGAATTCTATGAAATGCATACCGTTAGTGGTAATTCGGTAAGTGATGAACTTAGAAGTAATGGGGAAGGTAAGAAAGTAAAATGCAATCAAGTTATGAGCAAAACTGAAGACTAAACCTGACATACGAATCATGTTCCTTAAAGAAATACAGTGTAGTATTGAATTCAAAAGATACAAACTTTAGCTTCCTCTAAAAGCGCTTCAAAATTGCTTACTTTTATTTCTGAAGATTTTACCTCGTTTAGAATGAAGATAAAAGGCAAAAACGATAACAAATCCCACCATGAAGATCCTGTTCCACGGAACTGGTGGATCTTTGAAACATACAAGGGATGCCTCCACTTCTTGGGAGGCCTGATAGACGAGAGAGTGGATAGCGTATAGGTCGTGGTCTGAGGACCGCAAATAAAACAAAGCCATCCCAAAATCCAAAAGCGACATTGCAGAGACTGCTTTGTCCAGCTTGTACTTGAACAAGTTCCACCTCTGTATGAATTCAACATGTCGACTACGCTTAAGGAGCTTTCTTTCCCCGCCATGTGCAGCTATGGATTGGAGAACATCTACAGCACTCGATATGGTGTAATTCAGAGATGTCAAAAGAACATTTCTCCGAGCAGCATCCTTCTGTACGAATGATAAGGATGAAATCTCAGAGAACGGCCCAAATGGAGTCTGGCCAATACTCCATGTGTAATCCACCAATGTAGTATTGTGCCTAGGGCTCCACAGCATATGGGTCGGTGACACTCCCCACATGCTCTGCAAAATCGAACCAACAAGCGGTCTCTCAAGCTCTCTTGTTTGCGTAAACACATGACGCCCATTACAGCTATAATCACTCACAGTCTGTGTGTTCTTCGTCCTCACTGCAATAACCATGTCTTTAAAAGCAACTGATTGGTGATACCTATCGAGCAACAACAGCATGGTGTAGTCCAAATCGAACACATAAACAGGAAGAACCCTAGCAAAATCCTCCTCAGGGAGCCCAGCCACTCTCCTAAACTCCTCAGCCGAATCAGACAATATCTGATGCAATCGCTTCGAGTCCAAATACTCACTCGCAATCAAAGTATAGTTATCGAACAAGAACCTCGATGTATACGAGTTAATAGACCTTGAAATCGCGAATGAACAAATCGGGCAGTCCGAGTAACTCACCCTATTAGTCCTGAAACTCAAAGTCTGATCCCCTAACAACAAACCATTACCATTTGCCTCATCCATAAACGTCCTCTCAATCAATTTCCAGTCCAAACCGCTCAAATCCTTACCGCCATCGGAACCATAAACATGTATGAACTGAACAATCAATGAATTCTCAAACTGAACAGGAATTCTCAAAGAGGGCACGAGAAGAACCTGGTAAGCACTCCAAACCAAGGAAGCCAAGTCAGCTAGCAGCGCCTTTTGAGCCTTGGGGCGGCCGTGCAACACCGCCAGCGGATGAAACTCGCCTCTGGGCAAAACCCCATCACCTGAAAGCGCCGGGCCGTAATCGACCGGTCCGGCGCCCAAATCGATCCAGATATACCGATCTTTCCCGGTCCATATGCTGCCCAAACACTTGGTGAATGCAGGGGAAGAGTCCCCAGATCCGTAATTGTAAGCATACGGTTTGGATTGCTTACCCATATCGAGGAAATACAAGTAAACTCCATGAACCGGCTTCTCTTTCTCGAAGTCCTGCTTGATGATTTGATCGATTAAGTCGTAGGAGACGGAGAGGAGCGGCGATCGGAGGCTGGAGGTGGTTTTGGCGAGCTCGGAGCTTAGGGTTTTGGTGAGGAGGGATGCGAGAGAGGGGGAGTGAGAAACGTCGAGGTGGAGAGAGTGCTGGACGGCGAGGCGGTGGGAGAGGGATTCGTAGGGGGCGATAACGTGGAAGTGGTTGGAGGGTTGGGAGGCGGCGGTGAGGAAGGAGGAGAGGAGGGCGGCGGAGCTGGGGGGGAAGGAGGGACCGACGAGGCGGACGTGGAGAGAGAGGGGGAGGGAGAGGGAGAGCAGAGACGAGATGAGGGAGTGGGGTGTGTGGGAGAGAGGGGTAGAATGGGAAAGGGAGTTTTTGAGGGTGGAGGAGAGAGAGAGGAAGGAGTCGTTGGTGGCATGGCGGTCAAGGCGGGATTGGTGGGTGAGGAAGGTGTCGAGACCGAGGATCGGGGCTGAGCTGGCGGTGGTTATGGCGGCGGTTAGGATCAGGAGAAGGAGGAGAGTGGTGGTAGTGGCCATGGTGGTGGCCATGGCGGTCATCGAGGTCACTGTGATTTCACTGATTTGGGACTGAAATGAAGTTGCGGTTTGGGCTGAGACTCCACGCTCAATTTCGTTTTTCTTTTCTTTTGTTTTTTTTTTTTTTTTTTTTTTTAGTGTTTTGGGAAAAAAAGGAAGGCCGTGTTTGGCGACTTTATATTCAGAAAGCAATTTTATTAACAAGTGTTTTTATTAGAAGCGCGTTTTTTATTAAAAAAAAAAAAATTTATAAATATGCTCTCGTAAGGAGTTTTACTAGAGTGATGTCAGAAGTTTACCTCAAAAGTGCTTTGAAAAAAAGAATTTAACGAAAAGTTTCCGGTATTGTTTACTTTAACAAAAAATCATATTTTTACACTAAAAAGTCAATCATGGTTCATTTTACCCTTTATTTTGTTCTTACTGTTAAAACTCAAAGTTTTCAAGTCATTTTCATTAGTTTTCCTTTTGAAAAATACACTTGTAAGTGTTTTCAAAGGAAAAAAAAAAACGCTTTTAAATGTCTTGAAAGTGCTTTTTGAAAAATATTTAAAACTGCTTTTTGAAAAATATTTAAAAATGCTTTTTGAAAAAGCAGTTAAAAGTGCTTCTTGAAAAAGCACTTTCAGGTGCTTAACTTGATAGATGATTTTCTAGTTTCTATGACTTTTTTCCATTAGCGATTCTAAGAAAAACCGATGAACCTTAACTTACTCACAAGTGTGATCACACTAGGGTAATACTAATGACATAGCTCACATCGCAACATCTTGATAAAATCAAACGTTGTCATTAGTATCACAATTTAGTGATATTTCTCAACACACTGTATCCAGTTCGGCTCTTATAAATGGCGGGTCCAATATCTAAACGGCTAGCTCAATGTGGAGATTTGGATTTCATTGAACTTGTGTATTGCTGGCGACCTTGCAATAACCATTTGCTTGATTGACAACTGACAAGTGTGAAGTTTGATCAAATACATCGATGTTTTCAGTAGTGAACTATATTTTCTTTTACATTCTGTACTTTGATTCGTCAAATTTCTGATGTAAGATTTTAGAATTCTCCAATAAATGAACAAATAGACATCGGCATGTCCGAAGGTATTCTTAGATGTTAGGGTTCACTTTTGGTGTTTGTTAACACACAAATCCAAAAAACCACATCGAACTTTTGGGCCTTTGGGTTTAACAAACACAGTACGGACACTAAAATGTTGTCTTAGGTGCTCTGAGATCATCGTCTCCTTTGTTTTCTAACAGAAAACTAATCAGATAGATCCAAAACAAGCACACAAGTTATATATACGCTCCAACATCCTTCCTTACAGCTCAAGCAACCACATCAACAACCACCACCGAATTTGATAACGACGAGCGGAGCAGTTTATCTCGAGAGATGGAGTTCATGATGGTGAGGAATGAAGAGAACGCGGCTAGGCGCCGCCTGAGGACAGCGGATCCTGAGGCTCAGGCGGCCCGGTGTGTCAAGAGGAGGAGAAGAGGCCCACCTGCAGTTGGTGGCAATAGCCAAACCGGGCAGCAGTTGGCACAAGGGCCAGCTGATCGAGCTTCTGGTGCCACCACTGTAAAGAGAAGCTCGAGATTTCGCGGTGTCAGCAGGCATCGGTGGACTGGTCGATTTGAAGCTCACTTGTGGGACAAGCTATCATGGAATTCAACACAGAAGAAGAAAGGGAAACAAGGTAGATTATGACTTTGATTGTCACATTCGACTTCAATCTGTGTTTTTTTTTTCCCTTGGATACTGATTGAAATCTTGCGTTCTAACGTATCGCGCTTTTGAATGGACTATTTGGACTGAGCAGTTTACCTTGGAGCTTATGATGAAGAAGAACCTGCTGCAAGAGCATATGATCTAGCCGCAGTTAAGTACTGGGGGCCATCGACTTTCACCAACTTTCCGGTACAAATTTATATAGTTTTTGGAGTTTATACTCGGAAAATCTAAAGAGATGTGTTTTGGCATGGTTTTAGAAGATTAACGTAGAATATCTGATCTTAAACCCTGATGATCTGTTTACAGATATCTGACTATGACAACGAAATCGAGATCATGCAATCTATGACAAAAGAAGAGTATTTGGCCTCGTTAAGAAGGTAACATCTTCGAAAATCTTTTTCGCAGAAATACTTCTTCACCGAGGATTTTCCTTTGATAGTTTGTTGAAAGAATTATTTGTTTCTTTGTTTCAGAAAGAGCAGTGGATTTTCAAGAGGTGTATCAAAGTACCGAGGAGTAGCAAGGTAATATCTCTGAAAGTTTTTCAAAGATCGTTCGCATCAACTCGTTAAAAAGCTGGAAAAACAGTATCTAAAAGAGTGTTTGATTCATGTTTTACAGGCACCATCACAACGGTAGATGGGAAGCGAGAATAGGAAGAGTTTTCGGAAATAAGTACCTCTACCTTGGCACTTACGGTGAGTTCTCTCTTTATTTGTATTTGAATCTGCATCTCTCTGAAAATCGCTTGTATCAGGAATATATAATGAAAAGGGAGTTTCCAATTACTGAGCAATGTGCCTTTATCGCGTTCCAGGTACGCAAGAAGAAGCAGCTCGCGCCTACGACATTGCAGCAATTGAGTACAGAGGGATCAATGCTGTGACCAACTTCGACTTGAGTTCTTACATAAGATGGTTGAAGCCAAGAGCAGACGACACTATATCTACTGAACAAGTACCAGAGGCAGTCGCAGAGCCCAAAAATACACCATTCGCGGCCAGCAGCTACAGCACAACCGAGCAAGCTCCCTTCTCGCTCAAAAATCCTTTTGCCTCTGATTACGTACACTCTCCTCGAAAGCAAGAAGTCATCCCCAGCAGCAAATCATCTTCTCCCACTGCGCTTGGCCTACTCCTCCAGTCTTCAGTATTCAGAGAACTGGTTCAGAAGAACTCAAGTTTCTCAGATGATGACAGCACTGACAGCGAAGAACCAAAGAACCAACTGCAGGCTGGTAGCAATGATGAGTTCGGTGGAATAATCTATGACGGAGTTGGTGGCAGCCCTTTTGTTTGCTCTTCCAACACTGATGAAAACTTTACATGGAATAGCTTTACAAGCACGATTTTCGCTTAGTCAATCAACAAAACCGAGTGCCTCAGACTCTCAGTGTTTATTTTCTTAGACACAAACAAAACCAAACAGAACTTGTTCATACTTGTAAATAGCAGAAATGCAGCATCAACAGTAAATAGCACGATATTTGGTGCTGCATTTCGTTGTAAATTAGACCGCATAAAGCATTGCTTGCATGTAAAATTCTCCATAACATCGAATGTACAAACTCTTTCGGATTTTCCATCTCCTTCGTTTGTGGATTTCAGAACTTTTCGACATGATCATCCTTAAGAAGTAAAGGCAGGACAAGATGCATTGGCGAAGTCCCTAAAGCAGAGTCATCCGACATCTGCAACATCGTTGGCACTACCAGTAACAATTCGATTCCCGTTGAGAGCCAGGGCCAAGCTCGTGATATCACAGATCGAAAATTTCAACACGAGCAGAGCAATTTTAATTGTAAATGTTCCATATATAATATTACTTCAAATCAAAACAAAAACAAAAACTACATATTGTTGATCACCAAAAAGAACAAAACTAAAAGTTTCTGAAAGCCTATCATATGAAATTGCCTGCAACATGTTATGATGTGTTGCTGTTACTTTTGTCATCAATCCCCATCGCTCGAATGCTATAAGGCCATCATACATTCCGTAGCACTTCTTGAATAATTAGCCAGGTATTCAAAAACCTTGGAGAATCCTTCCTTTTCTTTAGCTTATGCTCCTCGACTTGTCGAATCATTAGCTCCCTGACATCATTCCCAAACTCTGTCATGGCGGCAGACGTCACATATTTATATGGAAGTTTATTCAAACAAGCTAACAAATGATGATACAGCGAAGGCGTGTCGTTCTTAGCAGCAGGAAACTTGAATAGCCCGTCATTAAGAGCTTCAACACAGGCCTTCAGTGAAGAGACATATGATGTAAAGCAAGCACACGATTTTGGAATTTCTGTTTCGAGCTTAGAGTAGGTAGTAAGCTGGTGTGGCCGTGTGTGTCGCTGCAGAACACTTCGTAGGGCACTTTTACTGTCTCCATGATTCTCTTTTCGGCCTCATGATACTCCGACACGATTCTCATATTTCTCATTAGGCAGTGAAACAAGGCAGCAAGTTGTGGCCTCATCTCTTTATCTGTTAGCCACTGAATTTCAGAGTACTGTACTTCTCAATTCTTTCATGGATTCACTTGCTCATGTAGTTCCCCTCAGCGTGAACAAATGACCCGTGATTGTCTTTGTCTCATTGCCATCAGAAACACCGCTATTGAAATGATATTTTGAAGAAGCTTTGGAGCTTGATCTATGGACATTTTCGGAGGAACATCTAGACAAGGTGGAGCGTTTTAGCGGCAGTGAACGAATGAGCTTGTTTGGGTCGTTTTGCGTCATCACTGAACGCTCGAGCTTGTTCAAGTTTTCTTCGATCTCCTCCAATTTTCTCCACAGAAGATTGTATTTGATCCATATTGGCATCAAGCGTCTTAGAAACCTCTCAACAAGGACCTGCGGCCTGCCTCGATGCTACGACACCTCCTGTGAAGAAGAACCAAAGACGACGACACTTAACATTACTCAAAATGTGTTCATCTAGTTAGTCGTGTAATTTTTTATACGAAACTTTACATTATTCAACACACCCTTTCACGTGAAACCATTCTTTAGCGGACCACTCAAAGCTCGTCGGATTTGAAGCATGAAATTTACCTAGGGTTGATATTTTTGACCTTCTCACCACCAACCCTTGCAAGCTTTTGGAAATGAATGAAAGAAATATTTGTTATGGAGAATAAAAAAAAAAAGGGAAATAATCCAATAAATTAAGTCCTAACATCTACAAATATTTAAGTGTCATATGGCATACAACATCTACAAGTAAAATCTGTTCAGTCATCTGAACTATCGGTATCACTGTAAGACTCTTGATTCCAAAACTTTGCAACATGACCTTTGTCGCGATTCACGACAGGGCAAGAAGCATTTGTGAAATCCCTAAAGCGTAAACATCCCACATCATAGAGGACATTGACGATTCCAGTAACTATTCGACTCCCATTTACTGCTAGGGCAGAAAACACAGAGCTTCTGTCTGTTTCACCTGCAGGACCACAGCTCAAGGAATTTGTTAGGGCACCAGTGTCAGCCTCCCAAATGTTAACATGCATATCCTTGGGGCTTCCGGTGACAATTTTGTATGGGTCCAGGTGCAAGTAATTCACCGGCCCTTTGTGTCCAGCTTCTAACTCCGCTATTGGTTCTGATTTCAGGGTACCACAGTTCATCCTTAAATCGTAAAGCATCGCTCTGCATAATTAAGAAAACTTCGTTTCTTCAATAATGTCAAGATTACGACTAGAACAAACTTCAACCTTTTGTTAGATATGGCACACAACCTTTTGTTAGATATGGCACACAAGACGAATGAAACCAAGGGAATTCTACTCGTCGTACCTGCCATGGCTGCCTATGCAGAATAAAGATTTGGATGGCCTTGCCTGAAAAGAATATAGCTTTGCATCCACTGCAGCAATGACAACTTTTTGCATTGTCCTCAAATCAATTGCCGTAACGGAGGAACCAGCAGCAACATAGACCAAATGTTCATTACACTTCATGTCTATAGGGGCACCAAGAGTAGAAGTCATCCCCACACAGCATGAAGAACGAGCAAAGGATGATGCATTTGTATCCCACACCCTCACCTGTTAGAAACCACAATCATCAGATATCCAATGACAGAGTAACAGAATTCACCGTTGTATGGCTGATCAGCGATTACTAGCGATGGATAAAAGAGAATACCTTAGAATCTCTTGAAACAGTTACCAAGTGAGAGGTGTTGTGCCTGCCATTAAGACCAAAACACATAGATCAATCTTATGGGAAAATTTGTCACGCAAAGCACAATAAACTTCTATCACATATGAGATGTGGTAGATATCTACAGATTATCTTCGAAGTTGGATCAGCTTATCAATGAACAAGAAGTTTATTTACTATTACTGAAAAGAAACATATAATCTCCTCAAAAGGACCATCATACCCAGCAACTGACATCAATCGGATGGGCTTCTCATGCCCATAGAAAGTAGCCTTTAAAGCATGCTGGCCACATCTCCCACCGGAGCTAAGAGACCAAAGGCGAACGGTGCCATCTTCCCCTCCACTTGCCAATACTTTTCCTACTCCATCGCCTAACAACTTATCTGACAATGCTGAAACTGGGCCACTGTGACCTCTAAAACATCTTCGGCAAGCACCCTGTGACAAAATAATGAGATTAGGACCTTTAGGAGAAAGTTGAAACCATAACCTAGCAAATGAGCAATCATTCTCCTTATGTCCCTAATATTGAACTCAACACAGAACTGAAAACTACTGATGATGGTATTACAGTACAATAATAGTAATTGAATCACATAGATAAATCATAGATTACAAGAACAAATATTTAATAGACTGGTGTAGAGGAAAAGATCATGAGTGTAACTTATTAGACCAAACTGCACTCACGAAGTAAAGTTTTTTACTCTGGACGGAGTTTTAGCTTTGAAAATCAATCCATGTGGATGAAAGGCCAAAAATGCACCATTAGCATTCAAAAAAGAACAATTAAGATTTCAGGAAGAAATTCCTGCAGATACAAGGCACCATCTTGTATAAACCCTGGAGGGGCATACCCGAGCCTGTCCTGAACTAAGTAGGGCGCAAGCGACAACTCTACCAAATCAATGGTATGGAAAACAAACAAATCGGAGTGTATCGAGAAAAATATTCCGAATTCATGGAATACCTTCCACCATAGCCGAATGGAATGGTCAGCGCTTGAAGTTACCAAAGCATTCTCCTCTTTCTGTGTTTCGCTTCGATATAAAGATGTTTCATTCAGCGGAAACAACCTGCATTTTATGTCAATATTTCAGGAATAAAAGAACTTCCCTTGAGCCAAACTTAAGCAAAATAAAAGAAAACCACAGAGAGCCCACCTCATGCAAGTAATTCTTGCATTGTGATCAACTAGAGTGAGAGGCGAATCCGTTCCGTTTAACCAACGATCAATCGTTAATACTCGTATCAGTGAACCCTAATCAACAAAAATTAAAAAACGTAAATTGAAGATTTTTCCCCACTATTCAGACTCAAAATTCATGAAAGAAAAACGGTGTAATATGATCATATATACCTGAGAGAAGATTATATCATTCTTGTCCAATAATATGTGATCCAAACGATTTGAATTGGCAGCGGTGTAGAAATCGACGACAATCGGATCGGTAAACTTGAATTGCAGCGAATCCTTAAGCATGGATAGATAGGCCTCCCTCACTCCTGGCGTTTGCGAGGCGGAGGACGGTGGTTGCCGCGGCCACCGCTCCCTGTAGAAGCGCTGCCAGATGGAGTCGGAATATGCGACCTTTTTGAGATAGTTGCAGGTCATGGCGAAGTTGGAGAGGTCCTGGATGCTGAGGTAGCTGGCGCACTGAGCCAGCGAATCCACGTTCAGATCGGCGATGGTTGTCGCCGGCGGAGACGGCGACCTCTGGTTCCGATTCATCCGCGGAGGTGGTGATGAGAGTGGCGCTTCCATTGAAATCGAATCAAAACCCTAACAATTCGGAACTGGGAGTGAAGAATACACCGTTTGGTGGGAAATCAGAAGATTCAGAACGGAGAGAACGGTAAAGAAGTCGCGGTTTAATTGCCTTGTCACAAAGGAGGTGTGTTGAACGTGTCATGCTGTTTTCAACCATATTATTGTTATTGGAAAGCGAAGCCTATTTGCTTATTAGGTAGATAATATTGTTTATTTTTTTATTAGGATTGTATTTTTTTTATTTATTTATTTTTGAACCAATTATATTATTTGCATTAAAAGGGAGGGGGTTGGTTTAGTTTCGCAATGGGCTAGTAATAATGTAGTTTAAATTTACATTTAGCGAGAATCTAACCTAACATCTCTCGCTCTAGATGAATATAAATACCACTAGACCGTAGTACTAATTGCCTTATGATTGTATTCCTTGGAGGAGAAGGATTTTTTTTCTTCCTTATTACTATAAATAAAAACACTGCTTAAGAGAATAACAACACTACACACATCCCTTATACACATATCTCTCTCTCCTCTCTATCTCATGCGGCCCATCTCTCCCTTGTTAGATAAAATAACCCACAACAATGACGTAATAATATGATCTAGTAGCATTTTTTATTTAAGGAAAACTAACGAAAAGATGTTGAAAACTTTGAGTTTTAACGAAAAACGAAAAAAAAGGTGTTGTAAGTGAATTGTACCAGAATTGACTTTTTAGAATAAAAATATGGTTTTTCGTTAAAGTAGACAATACCGGGACTCCCTTTTATTTATTTATAAACAGTATTTATAATAAAAAAATTGTCTATGTTTTCGTTGAAATAATCGAAAAATTAAGGATCAATATGGAAAGGTGTTGAAATGCAGACTTCACCTTATATCGACGAGGTATAAATCAATGAATATTGACGATATTTACTTATTCACTACCAAAATTTTGCCGGAACCTATTGTAGATTTTGAACTTTTGAAATTTTTTTGAGAAATTTTCTCTAATTTCGACTAAATCTGAATAAGTTGATATACCCCTTACAAATTTCCATAATTTCCATTAAAGGCAACTTTTACATATATATATATATTCATAAATTTGCATATTAATATTTTAAATAAAGAGGTTTTATGTTCGATTCTCACCAAAGACGTATTCAAACCAAATTATTATGGCTAGCTCATTTGAAGGTTTAGCATACTTTTTCAACCCTTAGACCATATCCAACCCTTGGGGATAAAAATTAAAAAACTAAGTCAGAAAATTTTAAACCATAACCCAAAACTGCTTTTTTCCTCAAACTCTTAGGGCTTAAGATTTTAGCCCGAGATTATTAAATAATGATTTTAGCCTAATTTTATTTTTCGGTAACTTTTTTGAAAATAAAATTTATGTAAATTATCCTAATTTATAAAAAAATATTTAAATTCCAATAAGTAATTAAAAATCATACAAATACATAAGTATTTATAAAGTTTTAAGTCGTATTTGATTTAAATAATTTTCTTAAATTATTTTAGACGTTATATTTAATTTTGGACCATCAAATCTTTTTTTAAACCATTAGATTTGATCTCATTTGATCATAGCAGTTAGATTATAAGTAAAAAAACAAAAAAAGTTTTGAAATATGACAGTTTGGTGGGTCAAAAGTGATTTAAGCCAGACTTAAATCCTGGAGGAATCTAGCCCAGAGATATATTTTCTTCCAGGTCTTATTTTAGCCCAATGGTTGGAAATGGTTTGAGAGGTTTTAAAGTTTATATTTTAAGCTTTATCTCATGGGTTGAAGATGATCTTAGTATATATAATATTGTTTGTATTAAAAACATTAAGGGCCTTTTGAGAAAGCATTTGGAATGGCTAAGTATTGGTTTGGTACTGAGGTGATTTTAAAAAAAATGGGTATAAAAAAAAAGCTGAGTTCAAAAATGTGTTTGGTAAACACTTAAAAATGACTTATTTTCACAGTTTTGGGTGAAAAAAAAAAGCTGAAAACATGAAACAATAAAAATAAGCTTATTCTCACAGCACAGCAGAAACAGTTTTTTTTTTTCAAAGTACTGTAATACCAAACCAGCCCTAAAAGTGCTTTTTGAAAGCTAAAACCGCATATGAATTTAAAAGTGCTTATATTTTATATAAGTTCTATTTAAGCAGCACTTGTCAAATGCTTTTCTTGGAAGCACTTCCAAATGCTGGTTGGAACTTCAGTCAAATTTCAACATACCAATAAACACTTTTTTCATCCAATATCCATTTTAGGTAAAGAAACATGCCATTACAAATTTGAAAAAACTCGCTACGAGACTGCTACTATATAATATCTCAAATTACAGTATATAAATTCAATTTATCCTCGCAACTGTAACATGTTCGATTTCAGAATATGAAATATTCCCCCTTAAGTAAAAACAACTGAAATAATATATGCAAAAGTGCTTATTAGGGAGGAACATCGGGATATTACAAACAACGCAACCGCACCCATCTCTACAATTCGTTCGGGGACAAGATGGGGAGGAGATTTACAGAAGATTATGCCAAGGAACGAATGATTATCTCTAATCCGACTAAAATATGAAGACCACACTGTCGTGAACTCGGGACTTCTGGTTCTGCGCCACACACTCCGATATCCACATCAGATTTCTGATCTCCTGCTCCCTCAACCTCATGTATGCAAAGAAAACACCGTAATGGAACTGCAGGTCGGAGGGAGAAACATAAGTGTTCAGTGACTGAATGGAGAGACCCAAAGATAAGTGAACCAGAACACGAAACAGACGTGGCTGCAAAGTAACTGCAATACAAACCTGTTGCTCAAATGCCAGGCAAAGTCTTTTCACCTCCTCTTCATAAAATGCCTTGTCCAGCAGCTGGCTCTCGCCATAGGATAGTTTTGAAAAAATCGACTGATAAGGGGGATATTTTTCCATGCAACCACGGACCTTCAACAAACAAGTTGTCAGCTTAGGCGAAACCAATACTACAATGTGAGAACGTTAAGTAAAGAGATAAGCTAATCAACCAATATTAGCATGTAACCAATCTAGACCAGTGAACATGAACAATGTCATAAAATTTTAACTTACTCAATCTTGCCCCAAATTAGCAAAAGGCCTTCACAAGAAGATGGAGCAAAAACAAAAGCATAATTTTGGGCAAGAAATAAGACTAATTGAAGCACACAGCATACCTGATCAATGTCCTCACAAACAGCAAGTTCCTCATGGCCATAGGGATAGCTGCACGAAAACAAGCAAACAGCTGTCACTGATGACAATCCAAAATATAACATAATGTACAAGTCATCGACAAATCAGGATAGCCATAGAACTTACAGTAAACCAAAGCTAGAGTACAACTTCCTGCGATCATCTCGAGTAAGCTCAGTTCCAATACTGCAGGGGGAGAACAAATAGTATGAGGCCGTGAAAAGAATGGTTAAGACCTCTGAAAATACAACATAAAGAAAGCTTGTTGACAACTCAACATTAACTTACCTATTTATGGTAATGTTGACAGCCCTTCTGTCAGCCTCAAAAGCAAGTAAGTCAGACATAATCTCTGCTGTGGCACCACCTAGTTTCTGTCCAAAAGATCAAAAGCAAATTCATGAGAAAAAATACAAAATACGTAATAAAAAAACTTGACAGATTGAAATACATAAATACTCTCCGAGTTAGAAATCAAAAGTTACCTGACAAAACCTGTAAAAGTCTTCAAGGTATGCCTTGTAAAGAGTGTTCCTCATTATTTCAATGTTCATGTCATCCAGGTCCTGAAAACAAGCATGATGAATACAAAATCAGAAACCTACCACAACAATCGAATACTAACCCATTGGAAAATAATGGCATAGGATCACTAAATCGTACCTCAGATGTAATGCATTCAGAAAAGTAGGGAGCAAGTGGTGTGTCAACAAGCACCAATCTGTAAAGCTCCCGCATATTCTGTGCAACCGCCAGGGTGGCAATGCTGATGAGAAAAACATGAGAATGAGATGAGATTTTATAATAATGTCAAAGTCGTAGAAAACACTTAAGAGTGAAAAAGGATAAATCAAAGAAAATGGAATACATAACTCAATGAAAATGACAATACCTGTCAAACATGCCCAAGGGGTGGCATTTTTCCAATAGTTCCTGAACATCTCTCTCATGCAAGGTTCCAGTAACAATCAGGACAACATTGTCTATCATGTGACCATATCTGGACGAAGATAAGAAACATTAGACAAATTCCCAGCTACAGATAAAATTTTAGTGATGAATACCTATATAATTATGGTTGTAATTTTCACACGTCATAAAGATCCTCCAGCCTTGCCGGAACAATGGCCAAATGTGATATGCTGAGTACTCACCCAGTCCGGCCTAAAGCCTAAATCAGGTTTATGTTTTCGAAATCTTTTCTCGTATTCTAATAAATATAATTCAAATTACCAAACAGAAAATAAGGCAGGTACATACGTAATATACTCCAAAAAGGTTGACAAGGGCTCTGTAGCTTGGCATAGCATGTGCTTATACTCATCAACCAATTTAAGAGTGCACTTCTCCACAATTGTAGTTGTATGCAAAGGGGAAGGTTCTGCAAGAAAATCCTCAGATAAGCAAAGAACAATAATAGACCAGAGAAGAGAAACCAATACATGGGCTTAAAAGTGAAAAGGAAATGTATAAGACATGAAATGTACGCTCATATCAAAATCTCACCTGCTACCTTATGTCCCATATGCTATCCAAATTATTACTAGTACAACATTAGTTAACCAAATTTCTCTTAACGAAACTTTAAACTTTGATAACATATATAAAGGAGGGATAACTAAAAGATCTATTCGTTTTCCGGTAAGTTCAGCATATTGTTTCCTCTTTAGTTCCGCATTTACACAGTTCCTATCACGAATGTAATACTGAAATACCTTAATTGTCATAGTTAAAGACAACAAAAGATATACAGAGTGACTTATCAACTCCACTCTAAATCACTTAAACATAAGGATCTATTTCAATCCATGACAGGAAAGTATCAAACTTTTCAAGTGTTCTTCACATTTTCTTCGAACAATTTAACCTAAAAATTCAAATTCAAATCCCTCATTAATGCAACCTAATATATTCACCTAGTGGCAGAATTTGCTCACTCAAAAATCACAACTTTTATAAATCACTAAGAATTCGATCACGAAGTGTTGCTCTTACTAATGCTAAATCAATGGCACCATCTTGAAATTTAAGCCCTAATTCAACCTAAATTTCAGATCGAAGGGCTGATTAGTCCAGAACCCATGTCTTAATTTATTCACACGATCCAACATTCAGTTCCCAATTGTGTTCATTTCCTCAATAAACAAACAGAAAGCTCAATGAAATGAAGACATTACAAAGAGATGCATACAAAGCGCACCGTTTTGGAGGTAGGGGCCGTACTCAGTGGCAGAAAGGTGCATCTTGATATCGTCAAGGGTCTCGCACTGGCACAAATTGTTGTAATCGGCGGCGGTGAGGAGGCCAGAGCGGTGTCCCCGCACTATGGCCTCCAAGTACCCGCCGTGAATGTTGAAGGTCATCGCTTCGAAGCCGTACATTTTCGCTAAAATTTACGCGATCTGCCACTGCCGATCCGAAAAATTGAAGGCGTTGCGGGAGAGAGGAAGGGGACGATCAGGGAACCAGAAACCCCCTTCTGCAGCGAAATCAATGAAAACCCTAGCGATTTGCAGACGGAAGCTGAAATCTGGAAATTTGCAGGTTTAAAGAGGGAGAGACGATGACTGGCGATGAGAGCTCATGGATTATTAGCGGTTGTCAAATTACGCGGTTGCCCTTATTGTTTTGCGTAATTGCCTAAAACCCTTTTCGCTCTGGCGGGTGATATTTTGGGGCTTCGTGTCCCGTGGATTTTATTGGGCCTAAGTAACTCAGCCTGGTTGTGTCCGTCTTTGATGAGCTCATCAGTAGGCCCAAGTAGTTTTCTTAAGAACGTTGAAAGGCCCAGTTCGGCCCAAGTCCAGAAATACAGAAGTCCGAAAGTAATTAACAAATAACAGTTTGACGTGTGTGCATAATCCTTTTCTTCTTGAGGTGAAGTGCACAAGTTATTTCTAGGCAACTCATAAGCGACTAAAGCACTGCTCAGTATGTATTTATGTCACGCTATGATCTTGTGTGAGCTATTGATCAAGCAGTGCTTGTTTATGTATGTGTCTGACTGTGATTGGTCGTTAAATAATCAAATATAAATTTGAAAGTATGAGATTAGGATGGGTAACGTTATTGTATTAGTAAGTTCGGCTTTTTAGCCAAAATGGTGCTTGAAATTGACATAACTCCTCACTTTAGTACTTGAGATTTAAAATTAATATAAGTCGACCCTGAGATTGAAATCTCTGTTAAATTGAGGCCAACAATCTCTCTGTTAATTTATGCCTTTAATCTTCTTCAATGTCTTACATCCGACAGTCGAAATTGAAAAATATGAGCGAAAGATGAAAATGAATGTTTAGATAAAAATCACAAAAAGTATATTTCCGAATCGTAGTACTGGTCGAATTCGAATATCGGGTTTAAAGGTAACTAATTATTTTTTAATGATAACAAAGCTGCTTAGCGTTGTCTGGCATCTTAAAACAAGTACACAGCATCCAATCGGATATCATATTAAAATTAAAAGCGGCGTTCTCCCTCGTTTGATGTCAAAAACCTTTCTTTTTCTTCTCCTTTGGCTATTTGCGGGTGCCACGTAAAACCAAACGACCACGTGACCTACGGGATCTTCCTTGTGGAACCCTTCAGCCGGATTTCATTCGCCACGTGACCAATGCGCGCCATTATTCAAAGTCGTTTGCCATATCATTGGGTAGGTGTCTGCCACATCAATACCGTATGTACAGATCATACCTTTTTTCATACCAAATAAAAGGATATATACGAAAAATGGTGCCCGAATCATATTTTCGTCCTCACTGTAAATTTAGAGAGGCAAATGAGACTTATGTATTAACTGATAAAATTACGTATTAATTGCATTGATGAGTTGTAGTTCCTAATATACCAAACACAGTACCAACTTACTTGCAACTAAGTAACCAACTAACGAATCAATTAATAGCACAACAAATATTCTAACAACTTTAGTTGATGTTACAGTGCTTATATGACAACCAATGATCAAGAGACATTTGTCTTCAATTAAGCGATACACTAATGTACTATTCTTAAAATTACTTGATACATATTACAGATCGGAACCTCATTTACATTTTTGAGTCGTAGAAAGAATCGTGTGAATCCATAAGTAGACAAATTGAAATTGAGAACATATGGAATGACCAGATGGCATCTTGTATAACGTTGGAGTCTCAAATATTGTGATAGGGATGACAGAGGAGGCGTGGAGTTACATATCGGATGCTGTGGTCATTGCTTACGACATAAACTGATATAACTGTCGTTTGAAATAAAAAACTGATATAACTGCCGCCCCCAAATACGTAGAGCTGGTGGTGCTTGTCGTTTATCATTTATTCCTTCCGTTAAGGGTGTCATTTCTTCCTAGGTCCAACAGGCATGGCACCATGCTCATGCAGCTCGGCAAAGGATTCATGTTTCGGATATCCCACTTGTAAAATTACGAATTGATTATGGGAATTTTTAACGAAAAATCTGCGATACTGTTTATTTTAACGAAAAATTATATTTTTACATTAAAAAATTAATCCTGATACTATTCACTTTATTCTTTATTTTGTCCTTATCATTAAAAAAGTTTTCAAATATTTTTCATTAGTTTTTCTTTGATTATATATATGAGAACGGATATGTCACATCACTTTTTTTAAATAACTTTGTGAGACTCACTTCGTAATGTATTTCGAAGATCCGAACCATCTATTTCTTAGATTTTCCCTAAAATATCATATCTAACAAAAACCACCAAATCTGAAACCATATGAATTGGATTAAGGGTTTAGGGTTTCTTTGTAGAATCGTATTTGTTCATTTTCTTCACTACAAATGAAAGTTTTAATGGTTTTGGATTTTTCTAATTTGTTGCAAAGATGATCTATCAATGATGTTCTAAAAATTTGACTAATTAAATTATTAAAATACATTACGAAGTAGCTCTACAAAAACATACATAAAAAATTGTGTAAAAAAAAAAATGCTACAAATCCGTCATATATACAATGCACAATAACATGCACATCGTATGCCTTTCATTTTTTTATTCATAGCTTAAGAATGCACAAAAACATACTTCGAGAACTTTTGCTTTCCTATAAGCAAACCAATACATTTAGTTTACTACTTTCTTTCTCTTATTAATTAATTACTCATCCCATACTTCATCATTACGTTTATTGAGAAATTATCTGCTATTGAAAAACCCTCATAGGACAATTCATGTATATTTTTCTTCAAATATAAACTCCTTGTCCACTATCGTATCACTATCACGTGCACTCAGTGTGAAAGTTTTTTGATACCCTCAATATTTATGTGAAAATATCAGAAAAAGATATGGAAAAATGGATGAAGTTTAACCTTCATCCATATCGGAGAAACTCTTAAATTTTGACTAAAATCGTTCGTCAATAATTCATACATATTGGTTAAATATCGAAAAAACTCTTATATCTTATTTAAATCAATGTTTGATATTCCCTAAAATTTTATTTTAAATTTCTACGTTTTCGAGCAAATTTTCATCGAAGGCAACTGGTGTTGCTACATCCATTAATATTTTTCACAAATTTACATATCCATATTTTTACCAATACTGATATTTTACATACAATGTACACTGAACTAAAGTCACAAGTGCATAGGAAGTCGACTCCACCAAAAGTCCTCTCACGTCAATCCCCTAATCGGTCTCTTGAGTGTGATCACTTAAGCTTTGCTTAACAAGCAAAGCATGAAATTAGTCAAGACACCCTTTATCATGGTTAGAATTCGTCAATAACGAAAGGTGTACATCGTTTTTTATTAAAGGGATTTAAAGATAATGTATCGATAATTTAAGAAAGACTTTTCCTTTTGTGTCAAAATTAAGGAAGAAATATGGCTCATTTGGATGTGCTTTTAAAATAACTGAAAGCGTTTTTGGTGAAATTGATTTTGAGTTCTAAAAGCACTTTAAGTGTTTTTTTGAAAGAAGTACATATATGTGCTTATTGCAGGAAGCACATAAAGTGCTTTTTCAGGATCTACTTGGATTTTTACTAAGGATTGATTTCAAAAACATTTTCACCAAAAACGCTTTCAGTAATTTTAAAAGTATATCCAAACGAGCCCATAGACTTTTATCCATGGAAATTACCCAAATCCACATATATTCCAAATCCAAGCATATATAAAGAAGATGCCAAATAGAAAGGGCAAAAATAAGGCCAAATTAAAGTTAGATAAAAAGTTAATTAAGGTTTTGTGGTCCTAATCAAGGGAATTGCGTCCTCTCCGAGGCAAATCATTCGATAATGTGGTCCTAATCAACCGATATTGATACATCCATTAATATTTTTCACAAATTTGCATATCCATATTTTTACCAATACTGATCTTTTACACACAATGTACACTGAACTAAAGTCACAAGTGCATAGGAAGTCGACTCCACCAAAAGTCTTCTCACGTCAATCCCCTAATCGGTCTCTTGAGTGTGATCACTTAAGCTTTGCTTAACAAGCAAAGCATGAAATTAGTCAAGACACCCTTTATTATGGTTAGAATTCGTCAATAACTAAAGGTGTACATCGTTTTTTATTAAAGGGATTTAAAGATGATGTATCGATAATTTAAGAAAGACTTTTCCTTTTGTGTCGAAATTAAGGAAGAAATATGGCTCGTTTGGATGTGTTTTTAAAATAACTGAAAACGCTTTTGGTGAAATTGATTTTGAGTTCTAAAAGCAATTTAAGTGTTTTTTTTTTTAAAGAAGTACATATATGTGCTTATTGTAGAAAGCACTTAAAATGCTTTTTCTGGATATACTTGGATTTTTATTAAGGATTGATTTCAAAAACATTTTCACCAAAAGCGCTTTCAATCATTTTAAAAGTACATCCAAACGAGCCCATAGACTTTTATCCAAGGAAATTACCCAGATCCACATATATTCCAAATCCAAGCATATATAAAGAAGATGCCAAATAAAAAGGGAAAAATAAAGGCCAAATTAAAGTGAGATAAAAAGTTAATTAAGGTTTTGTGGTTCTAATCAAGAGAATTGGGTCCTCGACCTGATCCACTAACACGGACCGTTGAATTTTGATTCAATAGCTACAAACAGAAAGACCCCTCTAAAGTTATAATAATTGTAACCGTTGGATCAAAATCTAATAGTCCGTGTTAGTAGGTTAGGAGGATTCTGAGGTTTGCCTCGGAGAGGATCCAATTCCCTAATCAATAATTTATTGTTGTGTTTGTCTATGCATGTATGTCAATTTTTGTTGGCCTACAAGCTAAACCTACCCCCATTTCCCTCTCGCAAAACCACATGCACACTTTTCTTTTACAAGATTATAGTAATATTTAAACTATTATAATTTTGGAGATGAGAGATTATCACTGGAATGTAACCAACAAATAAATTATTTAGATCAATTGACCTAATTCATATTTGCATACACAATTCCGTTAGTTAGTCGTCTTATGTTAGATAGTTAATATTACAAACCAAAATAACCTATAACATTGGCATAACTCATCAGTTTGATCATTGACATGAAAATT